GAAGGAAGGAAGGAAGGAAGGAAGGAAGGAAGGAAGGAAGGAACACTGTGTCAAGCTATCCTCAATCAGGAGGCAAGATGGCAGCTTCACAACCGAGGTTTCCCACCTCCAGACATAAAAAGTTCTCCCTCCCGGGCCTGAACATTTTCTGATGCTGCCAACAACAGAGAGAAAAAACAAATATCCTGGATCTGCAACACACCCAAAAGGTTTCTGAAAACCACCCCAAGGCAACCTGTATATTCAGGGGTGCAAATGCTGCCACTGCAAGCCTGCGAAGCTCCTGGCTGCCTTTGACCAGGCAGCAGAGTCCTCCCTTTCTCCCCCCTCCCAGGAAAAAAAAAAACCAACAACGAGGCCTTAACTTCTGACTCTGAAGCCAGCTATCAATCTTCTCTCTGTGTTCCTCTTTCCTCCAAAGGGAGAGGAAAGGCAGACAAATGCACGGGGCTGGGGGAAGTTGGGAGTGTTCATCACAGCCACCTTAAAAAATAAAAATAAAACCAAGAACTGGTATGCAATACAACACACCCTTTGCAATGGCAGCCTGTCGATTGAGGCCCCAAAGTCATGGAATGACGTGGCTCCCCGTTTTCATCAACCATGGCAGCCCCCCCCGGGGGGGGGAGTTTTGGAAGAAGGGACGAGATCCTCCTTGGTCCAGGCATCAAAACGCCTTGAGGGTTTCTGCCAAGGTCCAGACTAGAGTCAGATTCTCTTGCTAAGGAAGAGCAGAGAGAGCAGCCGTGTGGCTGGCCAGGGATTGTTTCCGCGGGGTCTTCTGCCCTGGCTGAAGAGTTTCACCAAACAGAGAGGGGGAAACGGTTGGATATACAATGTAAAACCGCTCCATGTTTCCAGGATGATAAATGTAATCCCGAATTCCTTTCTCCTTCCCTTCTTAGCGCTGTCTTTTGGGGAGGGGGAGGGCCTGGGGGGTGGGTTTCCTGTGCTTTCAACATGTCTTTGACACAGACGGCAATTTAAGTTCCCCTGTGGATATAACTTAATTCTAGCACTTGCTCTCTCCGATAAGGTCTGCTTTCCTTCCAGATAACCGTCTTCCCACCCCGACACACACACACACACACACACACAGACATAGAGCCCACACACAAACTCTTTGATCTCCTCCTCCTCTGTTTTAAGCATTGTCTGGGCATTCTGTTAAAAAAGATTTTAAAAGGTTTCTGTATGTGGCTAGGCAAAAGTGTGCGAGGTTCAATGTTCCCAACACATTCTTAGTTTCAGCTCAAAGGAATAAAATTCTGGTGCAGAGAAGATTTTAGGGACCTGTTGAGAAACAACCGCAGAAGCAATTGTGCAGAGCCATTTATGTGGGAGTAAAAATGCCCTCTAACCACTGAAGGAAAGCGCCTTATTAAAGGGATTTGCTTCTCCCAGCTCCATTTGGCCCACCCTCTCCTGCCTCCTGTTGGCATCAGGTCACCCTTTGCCTGGTAGATTTTAGCAACTTCACCAACCACGCACACAAGCTGGAGCTGGCACATTGTCTAGCAAGAGAGGGGGCTTCATGGATCAGTTCAACTCTTCCTTTTGGGGGGGGGGGCAAAAAGATAAATCAATATCAAACTCCAGGATGGACAGATATTTTTCTGGCAGCTCTCCCTTCAATGAAATCCTGAGACTGAAATCTCAAACCAGACCCAGGAAGATCCAATTGTTTCCTAAAACATAAATCTTTGGACCGGATCCACACCCTCTTCTTAACACCCAGGAAAGACCTAATCCATCCTTGCACACAGTTGTAGGATGCCCCCTCTTGGAATCATCACCAGGTGGGCTGTTTTGCAGCCCCTCTCCCTCCTGAGATTTATTTATTTATTTATTTATTTAACAAGATTTATATGCCGCCCTTCTCCCCATGGGACTCAGGGCGGCTCACAGCGTATTAAAACATCATACAAAAAAATTTCCCCTACTAAAAACCAATTAAAACCCAAATATTGGTAGCTGTGGCTCTTTAAAATCGTTAAAAATTGTCCCTATTTAAAACTCACCCTAGGTCAGGCCCGCTTGTTGAAAAAGCCATGTCTTGAGGGCGCGGCGGAAGGTTAAGAGATCCGGAATCGTCCGGATCTCGGGGGGTAGTTCGTTCCAGAGGGTGGGGGCACCCACAGAGAAGGCCCTCCCCCTGGGGGTCGCCAGCCTTCTGCACCTCTCTGGTGGGGGTGGGGGGGCAAAAGGCATCACTGGGAATTTGGGAGGTTTGATAAAATCAAGAGTCTGGCATCCTTCTCCGCTGGCACAACTCCTAACAGAATGAGGAAAACAATAAGAACACCTCGACTAGGACTTCCTGCTCCGCAAATACCCACAAAACACACACACATCACAATTGGATGACGCACATCCCTGCACCATAGGGATGCCACACAACAGCCTCCTTGCGTGCCCCTCTGTCCCCTGTTCTCTGACCCCTCCTTGCTCTAAAGTCACCTACGAACACTGGCCACGTTGCACAACTCACTAGGCTGAGCGTCTCGTTGCAACAGTTTTGCGCCAGCGATGGTGTGACACTGCTTTGCTTTATTTTTGCAACTGTCGGGTACCTGCAACCTCTTAGGCCAGGCCAGCCCACTTTGAATGTGATTTGCTTTCCTGTCCCTTTTAATCCCACCAGCGTGTTGCTTACACCTTTCCTCCAGGGAGGGGGGCTGCGAGAACATCCCAAATTCAGGAGAAGGACCTGGCAGTTAGGAGTTCTCCGACGTTTCCCCCTGCAGGGCTTCAAGGATTCGGGTTCGAGTTTCGCACAGCCCTCGCCTTCCTCGCCTTCAAAGAGCATTACACACGTGGATCTTGGGATGGGCTGATGGGAGGGGTCTATGTCCGCTTTTACCTCCACAGGTGAGGAGAAAAGGTGAGCTGCTGTTTCCCTCCTCTTGATGACATTTGGGGAATTTAATCCCCATTTTTTTCGCTATTTTCCTAAGAGTCCTAGGACACAAACGTCATACATCTGAAATAAATACAGACGTACATACAACCCTGACAGGTAGGCTGGGCTCAAAGTGCCCTCAGCTCATCCCACGAGCATCCAGGATTGATGGTTTGGGACTTAGAACCTGGTCACCTCGGCCACTGCACAAACTACCATTTTGGACTATAACTCCCATAACTCCTGACCATTAACCAGGCCGCCTGGCCTAATGAGAGTTGCAGTTCCCCCCGTGCTGGATGGGCAGAAGATTGCCATCCCAAATGACATCGGACCTTCTTAGCTCCTGCTTCTGAAGGCATCCATCCAGGAACCAGGCTGTTGATTTAGAAAGGGGGGTGGGCAAGGAAAGGGGGGGTCCTGTGGCTGCCCCCTCCCTCCCTGTGTGAGCACCGCCTGCCTTTTGCGCTGGAGAGCAGGGAACGCCCGGCAGAGGGCAGCACCGCTCCAGGTTCTCCGCCTGCCGAGGAGCCTTGATGGAAAAGACGCCTTTGGAGCTGAGTGGCAAAAGCAAATATTTTGGGGCCTGTCCGGCAGGATGCAGCCCAGCCCTCTCGGGCCACCATCCCGGCCTCCTCCCTACACCCCGCCAGCACGCGAAGGACAGCCAAGCCTCTTCCTGAAGGAATTTGGCCCGGGTTCCCGACAGACGTGAAAACTTGCTCATCCTGTTGGGATGCTCCTAAAAACACAACGGGTCAACTGTAGGCTTGACATGAGCGCCATTCTCAGCATGCCAGCTTTTGGAGTGGGATGGTGCTGGACCATTGGGCCTCTGCCCCAGCCTTGTCCTTCCCAAGCAGAGGCAGCTTCCCAGAGTTGGGAGGGACCTTGAAGTCCAAGCAGGAAACCCAATAATAAGCTGGTTCTTTCCAATCAGACTTCCAGATTCAATTTGCACTGGATCCCGGAGGCCTCTTGTAAGCAGAACGGACCCTCTGTCAGCCGTGGACCCTTCAACATTTCCATCACTGATGGAGACAACGGCTGCCCCAAACCGTTGCTGGCCTCTTAAGCACAGGAACCACAAACAGAAGCCCTTAACCCTGGTTAGCTACCCAGAGTTGTTTTATTACAAGATAGGCAGCAAATAAATTAAATAAATAAAGAGTCACCAGAAAGCCCCTTTCTAGCATCCCTGTTTTTCCAGCCTGCCCTGCCCTCAGTGGCAACTTCAAAAAAAAATACAGAATATCCCAGCTTCACGAGACATATTCTTTTATTTTAGAATGAGCCTTCGTTTTTTTCCTCTCCGTGTCTGTAGGATTTCATTTCTACACAACCCCCAGTTGTATCGGAACCCGAAAAACATAGTCACCAGGTTCAGAATTAACCTGGATTTTCACCCAGCTTCAAATGATGGTTGACTGTTGGCAGACCCAGTTTACAGGACCAGAAAACTGAGGTTCTGTAAGACAGAAAAACCGAAATTGCTAAATGTCCAGCTAAAAATCTAGCTAGGACACTTGAACGAAGCTCACTTGACGGTCAGGCTGCATCGGGAGCAGACCCCAAGGCAAGCCAGAGGGAGGGAGGAAGGACAGGGTGGGCGAGCGTGTGGGGCACGGTCAGGAGTTGGGATATGACCTGCTTATTTTTCGGTTCAAATGTGAAAAGCAGCGAAGGAAAAGTGAGTTTTGTGCCCCTCTCCTCCACCCCCACCCCCTGCATTGCAGGTCAAACAGATACACGATTGGATCTAATATGCAGCTACAGATAAATAGGTCCACCTAATTTCATTATCTTTTCTTGCACTGGAAAAAAACAAGGAGCAGAATTCATCCCAGATAAAGCCACTCCACATCGCAGGTGGTAAAAGATTCCTAGCCCTCCCAACAATGCCGTTGAGTTGGTAACCTGTGACTAAAACCGGCGCTGGCTTTAATTTCGGAGTCTGCGTCGGGGCGCGCGTGCTCGTTAATCTCTATGCAAAGCAGTTGAAATGAATATGCAGCGTTTGGGAGATGTAATT